AGGGGCATAAGTGGAACAGGGTTCTCCCCATGGCATCTAGTCTCTCATCTCCCTGCAACCTTGCTACAGTCAAATCTGAGTCCTAAGAGCCACTGTGAGCCCCTGGCTGGGTGACCTTAAGAGTGGGATGGCAGCTCAGTGTGGCCATACCCAGATCTATCTAGCAGATGGTGTCTAAGGATTGTGCAGATTCCCCGGAGGTCTCCATTGCTCCTGGGAGTGGGCCTTGTGAGATTTGTGAGTCCCTGAAGGGGCACTACTCAAACACAAGGCGGATCCATAGTGAACAATGGAAGCCACATAGTTCATGTGTGCATGACTCTGCTAGAACCTAGCTTCTTCAGCCTGGCTGGCACCCAAAGTCTAGAAATGCCTTGTAGATGGAAGGACCTAGGAGATGGGAAGAGGAAGGGAGGGAGGGAAGAGACTCTGCTGAGAATAATCAGGCTCCAGCTACAGAGGGAGTTAGGCAAAAGCACGGGGATACCCTAAGTCCAAGTCACTCCTTAGCACGTGGACCCTCCAGGCAGTGTCCAGGGTCAGGACGGCTAAGAAGCTGCTGATACTAAAGGAAGAAATAGGAGGAGAGGAGGAACCAAGTCCAAGGTCTGATGCTAACATGCTCACTTTGGCTTGATTTTCCCCTTTCTCCCGTCTTATTCCTTCTCTGGTGTCCTCTATAATCTGTCTCCCATCTCCAATCCTCTAACCCCAAGTTGGTCCTCTAGGCCTGCCTCATGTCTTACCCTGTGCAGTAAGACATGGTGACATGTAAAATACAACAGATTTTTAAGATAGATGATAGTGTAATTGAAATATCCCATTTAAGTAATGATTACATATTGGAATGACACTATCTTAGCTCCATTGGATTATATGAGATTGGTAAAATGTCACTGGTTTCGTTATCCCTTTTTGTGTGAATTCTAGAAAGTCTAAAGTGTGCTGTGTGTAACATTATATTTTTATCTCCATTGGATAGTACATTCATAGTCCTTTGGCTTGGGGTGCCCCCTTTCCATCCATCTGTTCAAATCTACTTTGTTTTTTTCAAGATGGGGCCTCATTATGTAGTCAAGGCTGGTCTTGAACTCTTGATCCTCCTTACCTCAGCTTCCCAAGGGCCAGGAACACAAGTATCCTGTGACTTTTTCTTCAAGGCCCAGCTTAGGTAGTTTTAGCTGTATTTGGAGGAGGGAATGATCAAGCTGGGGGGGGGGTTTGAATGCTTTATGCCACTCGTAGCTCCCACCTCCATGCTTTCCTGGCTTAACCCAGATATGTGTTGACTTCATATAATGTGGAGAAAGGCTGTGGAGAGAGGAGTTACTCACTTCCTGATTCAGAAGTGCCTTTCTAGCTTCCTGCCTAGAGGCATGAGAGCAAGACCAAAGCATGAGCTTTTCAGGAAGCTCTATGTCTTGCTCCCCACATGGCTGCATCCCTGCAAGTGCCCATGACACCTGGAAGGATGTCAAAGCAGAGAGCTGGAGAATGTGTTGGTTCTCAATAAAGCAACCATCAATATCCATGGTTTGTAATGTTTCTAATCCAAAGCTGGGTCAGGGGCTGTGTTACCTCCTAGAGCATGTTATTCATGGATAGTTCACTGTTACAGAGTGAAAATTAGATGTTTCTCTAAATAACTCACACAAACAATGATAGGACCTATTGTAACCTGCACAGCACCTCCTCTTTAGCAAAGCGGTATGTGAAATCTGGATTTAGACAAAAGGTTATTTGGAGGTGATAGTATGTTTTGTGAAAGGATTCAAAATAAGGAAACAGCAGCCAAAAGAGGCCATCCATCTACTGATTGCAGTATTCTCAGGGTAAGAAGAGACACAGACCTATTCCCTAGAATTGCAGTCCTTTGATTTGGGATACCTCCTCTTTTTCCATCCATCTGTTCAAATATAATATGGATATGGGTACCCAAAAGCCATAAGAGGTGTTGAATTCCCTGGACCTGGAATCACAGGCGATTGGGAGCCACTGGACAAGGGCATTAACCAAACCTCAGTTCTCTGTAAGAGTATCAAGTACTCTTAACTACTTGGCCATCTCTCCACTCCCTGGCCTTTGGCCTCCTGATGCTTCTGTCTCAGCCTCTCAATGGCTGGGAAAGCAGGCATCCTGGGGCTTGTTCTTCAAGGCTCAGCTTATACCCTGTTTCCCTCCTAAGCCCTCCCCTAATTACTGTGGATTTTCCAGCCTCACTAATAAGCACCTACATGACTCAGAGCTACACACATCATATATCCTCATACCCTCCATCCTGAGTGATTAAGCCCATATGTATATTTTCCTTAGCCAGATTCTAAGAGCTGGATGCAAACGACAAGATCATTTGTTCTCATTAGTTATCATCACCAACAGAAATGCTTCATCCACTCTTAGCTTTGGTGAAAAAAAAATCAGTCTGATGTGAAAAATATTTTTATTATAATTTCTTATATTTTCAGTGTACGTCTTCATTACAATCATTGGTACAATAAATATAGAAGTGCTAAACAGGCCATCATCACAGTGGTCTATGGGATGAGAGGCACCTGGACCCAGGGATACTATTACCCCTGGCACTTCCTTGGGGCTGATCAGGAGGCCTTCAAAGAGTATATTGAGAGGAAGAGGAATAGAAATATGATTAAGACAGTAAGTGCAGCAAATTCTAGAATACCTATTAAAGCCATGGGTGCAGGTCCTACTATAATAGAGGATAGATACAAAAAAAAAAAAAAAAAGAACAGTGAGACTGGAATTCTCCTGTTAGAGGCAGAGGAAAGACTGCAGAAACCAGTGCATACCCCCACCCACCCGTGCCTCATTTTGGTCTTCTTCCGCCATGTGCCCAGCCCTGTGCCCGCCCAGGCTCTCCTAGGCACCCACCTTACACCTCACACAGCCAAGTTAAGGAGTGTAAGGTGAGCTGGGCATCACACACCACAGGACCGGTTTCCCTCAGTGGTAGCCAGGTATCCACAATGTTTGGGAATATGGAGAGAGCTGCATCTTCAAAAGCTAAAGGTTGACAGCACTGATTCTTGGAGCACTCTTTCTGCCTCTCTGGCTTTGTTTCATCTCAGCCATGAGAGTTGAACGAAGATGGAATGTCTGGGCCATGCTGAATGGGAAGAGGGAAGGAGAAATGCCACTGTTTTCACCTCTTAGCGCATCTCCTTTTATGACCAGTCCTCAGGTCAGGCATGATGATCTCGCGATGCTCTCACATAGCTTGTCAGTATATAGTTGAGATAGTCTTGCTGTCCTGGAGTGCTGTGTGCTAGTATCTAGCTGACAATTCTGGCTCTCTGAATTGTGTCGCTTCTTCTCGAGGGTTGTCCTTACTGTGGTGTTACCATCAGGCATGTCAGTTGCAAGGCTAAGGTGGCACCCAGACTCCAGGGCTGTCAGAGGTCTTGTGTGCATGCACATACGCTGCACACACAGCCACGACTCCACTGGGTCACCTGCAACCTTGTTCAGTGAATTATACTACAAAGACATAAGGATTGCCACTATGAAAAGTTATAATGATAGAAAAAGATTTTTATCAAGTCAGAGGAAGGAGTAGAAGGAAAAAGATACAAAAACAAAACAAAACAAAAACAAAAAACCTTGTGCTTCAAGAGGACATTCTATGCTGTCAAAATGAGATTAAATAGGAGAACTCCCTGTGAACTGCAAGGAACTAGCTCTTAGGGGCTGGTGGCTGAGGCTCCTAATGAGCCACGAAGCTGACTGATCTCCACAGGGTCTCACCTCTGTGGGAAAAACATATAGAAGGGATTAAGTATTCTTGGAAACGGTGTGACAGAGTGGGGAGAACAGGGAGAATCTTGGGAACATTCTATTGATTTTGGTACTTAAATACCAGGATCTGGTTTGGCTCTGTGCAGATAGCTTCCTGCTTTGATAGTATGAAAATACATTTTGATGAAACATCATTTAGACTTGTCCACAGGCAGAGGAGTAGAGATATCAGACAAGGTAGAGCAGACATTTGGGCAAAAGAAAAAAAGCTGTAGAGTAGTCTTGCTTCAGTCTGTTTCCCATGGATTCAAAACAGAGTAGTAGATCATTCCATGAGTCATATCTACTGGACTCATAGAGAGAGAGAAAGCAGGAGAGAGAAAGCAACTCGTTTTCCAGCAATGGAGTGGAGTACAAAATACAACTGCCCTCCTAGGGCTAAGTAGGTGGTAACTTAGACTCAGTTTCTCTTACACTGTATCTTGATTCTAGTTCTGACTCCAAAGGAAGACTCCTGAACAATGCATGCCTTCCCAGTCCCTCTGTTTCTTTTTCTCTGTGTCCTCTTTATCCCCACTAAGAAATAGAACTTGAGCCTGCATTGCTGCAAGGTTTGGTCAATGTCTCTAACCCAATAGACAGGACTGTGGAAATGCCCTAGTATATTATAGTTTTTCACTTTTTTCTGATAATCTGATACTTTCTGTCTCAGTTCTTCCACATAGGCATGATCTCCTGGTTATCCCTTTTTGGGATCCCTGGAGGATCTGTCAGGGCAGAAGGAAATCCAAGGAAGACAGCTTCTTCCTGAGGAAGGAAGCTGATGTTCAAAAGTGTCACCTGAGCAAAGGGTATACGCTCTAGTTTGGAGGTTAGAGAATAACTAGGATGTCCAAGGCTCCTAGTATCAAGATGAACCCTGAATGGAAGTATTTTCCAAACCATAACAGCCCACCAGCAGGTTAGGTTTGTGAGCTAGAATTCTGAATCTTTAGTCATCTCGTGTAACTAGAGCAGTCCATTGAAAGCTCCTGCCCCTAGTTCAGTTCATCCCACTCACTGGTCACCCTGGGGTGGCTGTAACAGCAGAACAGGGGAGGCCCAGCCGGAAGCCTCACAAGAATCTGGGGAAGGGGTTACAGTTGAGCTCCAGAGAACACCTTGAGGTATTTCAAGTGTCCAGAGAGCCAAAGTATGTAGTGTCCAAAGCAAGGTCCTTCTTTGGATGTCTGAGAGTGCGAGGGACCTCAGGCGTGGGCCTCAGTCTCCTTCTTGATGGCTGGCTTATAAATGACTCCCTTGTTGTCACCTTTTTTGCTACAGGAACAATAAGAACACAAGTCTTTGTTAGTCAAAAAAGAGAGAGAGGGAGCCAGAGAGCAGCCTGGCTCAGGTATGGAATGAAGAAGTTTTAAAAGTCCAGATTCCTGGGGGACCTTTCCCAGGTCTGTTGGCCTTGGGAGAGAATGGTGTCACACCAAGCATTAACTAAAACAGAACCTATTTGTTTTCTTTTTTCAAGGCCTGATCATACTAGACCTGCATTCTGAGGCAGGTGTCATTATTACCACAACTTCAAACTTCTGATGCCATAATTGGAAACCTTATTCTCCATACCAAGAAAAATAAATTGTCTTAGGAAAAGCCAAGCATGGTAATAAAACTACAGGTAAAGGCATTTATAGATAATATGAGTGAGAGATCAGGTTTTTCTTCATTTTTCTTGGTGCAAAGACAAACAAGTCAGAAGACTTGTCTAAAGACTCACGGCTGACTAGTAATGGCACAAGGCTGGTAGAGTCACCTCCACACCTGAGCACAGTAACCTTTAAATGACCAGTGTTTCATGTGAGGACCTAGACACTGGTATTTAGAGAGCAGCACTCCTAGAACAGTGTGGGTTACACAACAGGGGCTCTTCCTTCTGCAAAGTGGTCTCACCAGATAGACGAATCACCATGGGCACATAAGCAGCACATTCAGAATGGGAATTCTGAATCCAAACCAACTTACCTCTTCTTCCTTCTGAAGAGCCAAATAGACACTGCCAGAACAATAGAGATGCCAAGAACACCAGCCAGGGTCACCGAAAGGATGATACCTGGTGAGGAGGCAGGGAACACATGTCACATTCCTCCCTTTTCCTCATCTGAGCCCATATCACTTGGCTATGAAATTATGTCCTCGCTCTACAGTTGTCCTCAGAACATTGTGATTTCCCCACCTCTGTTCTCAGATTCTGGCCTCTGGCTTTGTGGGACTGACTGGCTGGAGAACATAAAAGGGCATCTACAAATTGCAGTGGTTTTTCAGCAGGGGTTCTCAAACTTATACAAGGATCATCTGAGGATCATGTTTACAATGTAAACTTTCCAAAAGGTCAGCCCTCAGAGCCTTGGCTTGGTCTACTGGACCTGGGACCCAGGAGTCTGCATTTTATTTTCAAACATCTCCAGCTAATGTTGATGCTGATGATTGTGGTCTATGAACCACACTTTGAGAAACCCTGGGCTACAGAGTAAGATCTCAGTCTACTTTTGCTTGCTGGATGTAAAATCTCTTGGGATGATTCTATAAATGTTGCCCCCAATTTTCATTGCAGTCCCAAACAACCAACCCCATGGTCAAGGTCATGTAATCAGCCACCTGACCTTAGGTTTTGCTATGTTTTTAGGCAATCAATGCCCTCCAACCTTAATCAACAGAATGTCTTAAATAGGATCTTTGCATACACACCACAGAGTGATTCAGTCTTTTCATTAGAGAAACATTTGATTGGCAGTTCATTTTTTAATTAGAGAGCAGCTTGAGGGATACCAGAAGCCAAAGCGACAGCAGAGAAGCAGGGCTGAAAGTATCACAGGCCCAGATCACACTGAAAATCACGGGGTCACCCAGCTGTAACATGCACAGGAGACCACATACCCAAACTCAGTCCTGTGTCGGTAAGGAGTCCTACTTCAAAGGAGGGAGAAAAGATTGGAAGTTAATCTAGAGCCAGACCATGAGGGATCTGACCAGTGCATAGCATAAAACTCTTTTTATTGTTGGTTGGTATTCCAGGGCTTATTCCAATTTTGGGGATGGTTACCCTTGTCACAGGTTGATGGGGTAGGGGAAATGCCCACTTAGGGATCCATACTGTTTTCTCCTCCATCCCCTATTCCTTTAGCACTGTCACTTTCTTTGCTAGGGCAAAACCTCACTTTCTAATCTTAGTGACCAAAGAGGCGAAGTGAAGATGGATAAGAATCAGTCTACTTTGGCAGGCTTTCTATTTCTCTGTTACCTGTCTTTCTCAGTAAGGAACCTGCCACCAGCTTTCTCCCTACGCCCACCTACTCTAACATCATGGTTTGGTTCTTTTCCATTTCTGCTTGGCCCTACTGGACAAACTCCTCTACTATACCAAACTATCATCTCTACTTCATGAGACTGGGGTTACTATGACTTCCCTCTAGGAGTCGCTATTAGGAATAAGTAGGATGAGTTTAGAGTTCTGAGTGGGGCCCAGCCATCGAAGGTAAAACCCCACAGTCTAGTAGGGATCTCCAAGGGCATAGTCATCTGCAACTGCATCTTTCTGAATAAACAGAGGAACCTAATCACAAACACCTTCCCTAAGCAGTCCCTAGCCTGCTTGCTTCATTTATTTATTTATTTATTTATTTATTTATTTATTTAGGTTTTTCGAGGCAGGGTTTCTCTGTGGCTTTGGAGGCTGTTCTGGAACTAGCTCTGTATCCCAGGCTGGTCTCGATCTCACAGAGATCTGCCTGCCTCTGCCTCCCGAGTACTGGGATTAAAGGCGTGAACCACCACCCACCGGCTTCCTAGCCTGCTTCCTATAGGTTCTTACTACTCTTCCTCTTTCTCTCAGTCAGGTCCTCCATCTAAAGAAGTCTGTTTACACACACCCTTTTCTCAGGTGTTTTTTTAGAAACTTTACAGTGTGTGTGTGTGTGTGTGTGTGTGTGTGTGTGTGTGTGTGTGTGTGTGTGTGCGCACTTTTGTGTGTGTGTGTGGATGTTGTACATGTACGTGCATGTACGTTTGACAGGCTGTGGTAACCCAGTCAGACACACAGAGATAGCCTACACCTGTAAAGCCCACCATAGAAGCCAAGACTCTAGGTGAGCAGAGGGTCATAATTCACCCTTGGGGCTTTCAACATACTGAGGCACAAGACCTGAGGCTGCAGGGTAAGGTTTTGCTCACCTGCCTTCTCCTATCCTGTGGCCAGAATCTGGCTGATTCCCCAGGAGCCATAATACCTGTAGCCCTTCTCTACTGTCCTGCAATTTCACATCAAGCCTGCCAAGCCTCTGAGGCAAGCCTGAACCTGAGTGGCCCTGGCTGCTGTGAGAGTAAACTGAGTAGACGTGAGGAGGGTGTCCCCAAGGATAGGTGGACTGTTCCTGTTCTGACTGGCCACCACCAGTAGTTCATAGTGCTTAAGTAGCTCCCCTGGTCATATTGCCTGCCCAGGCCTCCCTGGTAAACTGAACCCGGGAAGCAATGTATGACTCAAGATGTACGTAGAACAGGTTCCCACCCAGGGAGAATTTCATGCTTCTACAGTGCGAACTATGTGCTCCCTCTGGCCTGGGCCTCCAGAATAGTACAACTTAGTATTTGAATTTTCTGTTTTTTGTTTTTGTTTTGTTTTATGGTACCCAAAGACCTAGTTCATTTCTATCTTAAACAAGCTCTGGGTGTTTCTTCTCTAGCCCTTTGATAAAATCCACTTTTGTTCCTCAAGCCCCAGAAGCTCATAGTGCTGATCTATCCACATAAGCCTGTCACTAGCAAACCACCTAGCCAGGTTGTTCAATTTGGGCCATGTCTTTCACAGTCACCATAAACATGTGAGAGTCACATGGGACCAAACAGCTGAGCACTCCTACCACATGACTGAAGGAGTTATCTGTGTACTGTGGTCTTGGATTGCTGAGCAAAGCCCATGGAGATCTAGGTCCTAGAGTGATACTTTTCTCCAGAATGGTCCAGCTTTGGGGCTTCTCTGGAGGAATAGTCTAGTATTCTTTGCTTGTTCTGCAGGATTTTGATAATGGCATAACTGAATTCAGTGCTCCAACCCAAGTTTTTCACTCCTGGGTGGATTCTGTCAGGGACTAAATTGTCTCTCCTTGGAAACAATGATATGAGCACAAATAGCAATGAAGACAGAAAAAGTTCCAGAAACTGGAATAAGTGAATTTTCAGCTAAGACTTTGATGTTGCAAAAACAAAACAAAACAAAACAAAAAAAACCCAAAGAAGCTAAGGTGCCAAAGAAGAAAAATACTGGCAAGGGTGTCACTGTAAAAGTTCTACCTCCCTATGATGCCCAAAGGCAAGATGTGGTTAAAATGCCATCCTACCAATTTAGGCAGTACCAACCAAGGTCTACAGAAAAAGACCTTGCTCAGTGGCTTTGATGCCCACTGAAGATAGGCCCAAAGCATCTGCTAACTAAAGAGCCAGGGATCTAGCAATGAGATTTTCAGGGTATAGGGAGAAATGCTGAGATAATTTGAGAACTGAAGCAAGAAAAAGAAGTCTGAGTATTTCTCAGCAAAGGTGCAGCCAGGTGAGGCTAGTCTCTGGGCAACTAGAATACAGGCATGGTGTAGGATGGACAGACCTGGAGAAGGTTATGTTCAGCTTAAACAAAGAAATTGGTTGTTTCCAAACAGGGACAATGACATGTAGTTCCTAAAGAAAAATGATGAGACAGATGGGGAAAATGGAGACAGGTTTGCTCTCAGAGGTGACCCATGACAGCCAGCTGATGATAACCTATCAGAAAAGACTCCTGAGATAGATAACTCAATCTGAGAAGATTGGGGAGTGCTGCCTGCTCAGTGCCTCCATCGAGCACTTGGGTAATAGTCAGAGTGAGCAGAGATAGGGCAATATGACACACAAAAGGAAGTTGCGCATAGGTACAGACAGTGGCATTGTCCAGGAAGGTCAGGAACTGCTTGACACAAAGGCCTTGCTACCTGGACTAGCTGGCTCAGGAGCTGCATCTTCCACTGGCGTCTGGCTGCCCCGAGGATGCTGGTTAACTGCTCTTGAGGTGTTCTGAAGCCTCAAGTACAAACACAGACAAGTCCAGCTCGAAGAGCAAGCGCTCATTTACACATCTTGGAGTACCTGGAACAACAGCCTAGTATTCTCTAGTTCTACTTTCAATTCTGTTTGGTTGTGGGACACAATCTCTTATTTCAAAGTCCTGCCAAAGCATGGACTGTTCTCACAGACAACATAGACCAGTCTTCAGTGATCTGCAGTCTTACAAAAGAAGCCAGGAGAGTTTAGGTTTACCAGGGGTTTGACTGCTTAAGAACATGACATTGACTTAGAAGGATAACAAGTTCCCCTTAGAGTGTGATGTTATAAGCCATAGAGCCAAATGACTTCAGTGCTACTGTTCTCTTCAAATTGTACTTTGCTTAGTAAAATGCCCTCAGTGACCAAGCACACATTGCTATCTTTGGAAGGTATTTTTAACCAGTCTCTGTTTTTCATCAACCCTACACAACCCAGTGAGAGGATAACTTCTACAAAGAAATCTACCAAAAAGGCACCACTAGACAGATTAAATAGTAGCTGCCTTATAAAACTATGATAGAAAGGGAAGGCTTTGTCTCCCAGATAGCAAGCATGCCTGCCACACTGCTATGATCCAGGTGCCATGCCAGTTCTTGTACTTTTAGTTGCATTCAATGGTCCAGGCTATCAGGGCTTAAGGGGTGATGGCTAATAGGATAGGGGAGCTTATACCCTGTCATTTCAGAGCAGCAAAAAGTGAGACATCAGTTGGCAACTTCCTCCAGGCCTTTAAAATTCAGTTGCAAGTTCTAGTCTTGAATTTCCCTTACATATGGTTCTATTTTAACATTGTTTGCAAACTTAGAATAGAGAGAAGTAAGACTTGAAATTTGACAACTGGCCAGGTGTATGTGTAAACCGTTCTAGACAGAAGATACTGGGGAGGAAAGGGGAAAGGAAACAATCAGTTATATTCTTTCCGCAAGCTTATAGCATGCACTGGGCGCGGTGCCAGGAATAAAGAATGAATGATCATGAGACATCAGACATCCTTTCTATAAGGATGTGAGTGTAGTGTATAATGTTCTCTCTCTCTCTCTCTCTCTCTCTCTCTCTCTCTCTCTCTCTCTCTCTCTCTCTCTCTCTCTCTCTGGTTTTACTGTATTGTAATAAATAGAGTAATATGGTTGGTATATTGGTTATATGCCACATACTACACTAGAAATGAATAAGTCAGATAAAAGAAGTTGGTAAGCCAGCTCCAGGGTCGTAGGGAGGGCTTCTGAGAGATTGTGACTAAAGCTGAGTCTTAAAAGAACTTTGTGAATGAGAGAGAGAGAGAGCCACTCCAGACAAGAAGAATAGTGTATGTGCCTTCCCCGTTTTAGGAGGCCCTGCAATGTGGGGATCTGAGGCTGAGAGGGCAGGGAGGGAGCCACTGAGAGCTGCCCTGAGGGTCAGCCAGGGGCCTCACAGGAATGGATACAGCCTTCTGCCTGGCCCCTTTCCCAGCTGTTGTTCCTGAACTCAGCCTGCTCTGTGTCAGGGGCTTGTCATCAGGAGTAAGATGGAATGCTTGGGGGCTGGGGGTTGGTGTTTGTTTGTTTGTTTGTTTGTTTGTCTCTGCCTCCATAGTGCACAGTAGGGCCATGGTAGGAAAACTCGTGGTGTGTTGAGGGTACTGGAACTTCACCCCTTAGCACATTTGATGATTGCTGCTGACAGTTCAGACTGTCTAGTATTCTCTAGTTCTACTTTCTGTTTGATTGTGGGATGCAATCTCTTATTTCAAAGTCCTGCCAAAGCATGGACTGTTCTCGTAGACAACATGTTCCAGGTCTAGGAGTTTGAAGGTAGGAACTTCTCTGATTTATCACTGGATGCCTTGGAAGAATGATAATACTCTTCCATCTATTAGTTTTTATTTATAAATAGAAACTTGAAGAAACACAAGGTCAATAACCATGACATATAAGTTCTAGTCTCAAAAAATTAATTAGCCATCTTAGCTGGGTAAAATGTCTCTTTTGAAAGTTTTTCCAAAAACTATGCAGTTCTCTCCAGGATAAGCAGGTTCTAATTAGGTTATTCTGCAGATGGCCATTAGTTAGAGCCCTCCCCCCCAACGTCCAGCAAGCTCAACAGTACAGCACCCTCACTCATTAAATGCCCCTCGGCTGTCTCTAGATCCCTAGTGAGTGACATGCAGTTCCTCAGAGCAAACCCACTAAAGACATGATTATAGAAACTTTTGGCCTCTTTGTATCTCTCCAGTTTCCTTGCCCCTAACATGCTTAAAAGGAGCTAGACAATGTTAGTATTTATGTTTGATAGACCCTTGCCTTACCATCAATCACCATTTGGACTCAGAGTTGGTGTCACTGACTGGGAAGGAATTAACCCACTTCTGGGTCCTGGCCCTGCACTCTTTCCAGCATCCTCACTTAGGGTGCCTGGCTCTCAGGAAGCCTGAACTGGCTTCAGGTGAGTCTTCTCTCTATCACTTCACCTTGAGAGCAAGCTCAAGTCTTCCTTGGAAGAGGCCATTTTCCGGAGTCCTGCATGACCTACAGCTTTCCATCTGGAGTAGGGACTGTAAGCCATCAAAATGGCCACCAAGTGGGAAAGCTTCACACAGACGGGAAGGAGACAAGGGATGATGAGGGCCCTGCAGAAAAATGCTCAGATAAAGGGGGTCTATAGACTTTCCCAAAGGAAGACCAGGTCTCTCTCTCTCTCTCTCTCTCTCTCTCTCTCTCTCTCTCGCCACTTCTCCTATCCTTACTCAATTATATAAGAAGGGTATTTACTTACATTCTGAAGGTCTATGGGAACGAGGATTTTCTTGGGCTAGTTTGTTTGGGATCATCATCACAAGACTCAGGCTTTCATGACATAATACAATAAAGACTAGAGATGGATCCATGGTTAAGAACATTGGTTGATTTTCTAGAGGAGTTGGGTTTGATTCCCAGCACCTACAACTGTCTGTAACTATAGTTCCATGGAATCCAATACCCTATTCTGATTTCCTAGCATGTACATGATATACAGACATACATGCAAACAAAATACCTATATAAATATAAATAAAAATAAAATTTTAACTAAAAAATAAATATTGGAGTATGTGATATTCAACTTGAGAATCCTACACTAATGGGGATTAAAAACTAGTCCTTAGCCTACAAAGTCATTGACCAATCCCTGGGACAGTGGTCCTCATTTTGCTTCATTTCTCCTAGAAAACTGGGCAATGCCTAAAGATATTTTTTGAATGTCACAAGTGGAAACATGTTACTGGCATCTAATAGGTAATAGGTAATAGAGGCACATTCAGATAATGCTACAGGACACAGGGAAGTCCCCATTATAAGAATTATCCTGTCCCATGTGTCAATAGTGACAGGACTGAGAAACCCCACTCTAGGGCTATATTATTATTAAAGTACAAGCCCCTTACAGGCAAATATCATGTTCTGTACTTCTTTTATAAGCATGTTCTAGGGAAATCATAGTCAAGTGGTTCAGTCCTATTTGTTTCAATTTGGTTAAATCTCAGAACCCCCCCCCCACACACACACACACAGCCAGCACATGTGCCCTTGAATTTTCTCTCCTAGAGATTTTTTTTTACTTCCTTTTCCTGGAAGATGTTTGGATTCCTTAGCTCTTTAACTTCCAAACAGACCCTAATTATAAATGGGCCTCCATGGAAGAGCCCGCAAAGAACTGAACCCAAATCACTCAGAGAACAAACAAGCTCATGCTATAAACCTGAAACTGTGTGTTAGCCAGACCTGCCCCAGGTGGGCTGTTAGAAGCCCTAGTGAATTTAGGCACCCATGGACAGTGGAGGGTAAGAGCTGAGCTTCCTGGGGACTGCTTCTTCATCTTGCCTCAGGAGGTAGCCTTGTTTGCTGCTTGTGTTTTGGAGTATGAGGAAAGGGAATAGTACTTTTGCCAAGTTTCTATAATCAGTCTAAATGAACAAATTTGCCTTGAACTGCTGAAGATTCTCCAAGGAGAAAGCTGAGCCAAGCCTCTCGGAAGCAGCATCTCTGACCAAGCTTTGCAGGAGGGTCTGTGGCAAAGCTGCATCTGGGCTTTGATCTTGATGTCCTAAGCCAGGGATTAGTCTTCAAGCTTCTGCCTAGAGCCTTCTCAAACTACTGCAGCCAGACTCGCAGGATCTACCAAAGCACCCAGCTACAAAACTGCCTGTATGGTCCAGTCTACAAGCAGCTACTTAGACCTGAGCCCATCTAAGGAGATGGCTAATTAGCGCCAATGCCACAGTCCATCGGTACAAGTGGGGATTACTTTTAGTTGTCATAATCAAATTCCTGCACGGTTTCTTCTGATCCTCTGTAACTGCCCCCAAACACTGACCCTGTAATGTAAAGTTAGGATTGGCAGTTATTAGTATCCATTTTGAGTCATAATATATTGGCACTGAAAGTATGTCAGAGCAGGTCTCCAGCCTGGCATCCTATGGCCGAGGAAACCAAGGCCAAAGAAGGGTATGCTTTGTTCACATCACACATCCAGGAGAAAACAAGCAATGCCTTGAACTGAGGTCTCCTAACTTCATGGAAAGCATCTGTTACCCTCTTTCCAGGTACATATACAGACTAGCTCAGGGAACAGCTCTTATAGTCTTTGAACCATAAGCAAAATCTTGCCTGAGGACTATGGTTCTCATCTTTAGGCTTTTAAATTTAAGAACTGAAGTAGCTCCATACAGAGTGTGATGCCTCATTTCTACAACTCTAAACTCCTGAGAGGCTGAGGCAGGAGAACCACAAAGTCAAGGCCAGCCATGCGACCTACATAGTAGGTTGAAAGGCAGCCTGAAATATAGGAGACCTTGTCTCAAAAACACAGAGAACTGAAGTACCTTCATTCAACTCTACATACTACACAGTCCACTTAGAAGAATAGGGAAAGAGAATGCTGTGTCCATAATGGAGAGCAAATGAAAACATCCCAGGCATTCAAATCATTCCCTAGAAAACAAGTGGGTTATCACTGTCTTACACATTCTCAGATTATAGGAAGGGCCACCCTATTCCCAGATTGTATTTCAGACTCAGAAACTGAAGAGAAGGGGAATGACCTTAATTGAGTGATATCTGGAGAGAATACAAGGCACAAATCCTTGGGCATGAGGATAACCCACAGAAGAGTCTACAGGCATAATGCTGGCCATGTGGATGGGTCAGTTCAGAAGGGCAGATTTCTAATACCTATGGCTTCAAAATGCAGTCTTCATTGGCTCAGGAATAAACTGAGCAGGGGACAATTACAGCCTCACATAATAAAGGAACAACAACAAAAAAGCATCAGGTGAGATGAGGGGCGTGGCTCCTCTAACAGGTAGGCTTATGTATTGTTTTGAAACATGAACACCTGACCCTATTGAGCTATGAGTGACATAAGAAGGTGACAGGGGCACTTCTGCAGATCTGCACTGCTTCTGACAATCCAAGATCCCTAAATTTGGCAAAGCTCAGGAAGGTATGGTGAGAAAGTTACCTCAGAGGTTTGAAAATGGGTGTGGATGGCAAGAGTTCTCCTTATCCCCATCACCATGCTCAGTGTACTGATGGAGGCACTGAGCCAGTGGAACATCAATTTCCTCCTAGTCATTGCCTTTAGAGACTTAGAAGGAATAGTGAGTTCCTAACAATTGAAATACACCAAACTATTAAGCTTTACTCAGATGGGAATGTATTTTCGGGTGCTTATGCAAGCTCCCAGATTAGACAAAAAAGCTGTGAACCCTAGTGCTTGTTTGCTAATGGATCCTGCTCTGTGAGACTTTGAGGATGTGGCCATAAACATGGGTTATACCCTTGACCTTACAAAGAAGCATCTAAAGATGCTTGTAGTATGCAATCACCTCCTTTGGCCTAGGGCAGGGCAAATGTAGCCCTTTATGCCAAAAGAGTCCAGGGTACAAAGGGTTCCATGTGCCTTAAGATAAGGAATAATTCTTTAGAGCGGAGAAGTCCCCAAGAACATTTCATCTCCACCTGTGGGTGACTCCCAGACTTAAGGGCTCTGACCTGTGCACCTCAAAGTCCTGGGCTTCTCTCCAAGGACTTGAGGAAGTGGAAAGCCCTGAAGGGAGACTACTGTAGCTCCTATACCAAAGCTCCTAGACGTGCTCTGGTTCCTTGGCAGCCATGGTACTCTTAGCCAGTCTCCTAAGGGCTGTTTCCTACCAAGGAAACAGACATCTGATAACCCAATGCTGCCTCTCCCTTCCCCCAGAAGCTTCCTCACCTTGTCGGAAGGAGATATACACCAGCCTCTCATCGAACTTCTGGACCTGCCGGAAGTTGTTGACCATTTCTTTGGGGGAAGGATCATCCATGTGTGTGAAATACAGAGCTGTCTCCAAAGCCAACAGCTGAGGGGAAAAGTGGAAATGGGTCTCATGAGCAGATGATGCTCGATGGCCTGGTGTTGGGAGCCATACAGCTTGGCATGAACCTTTAGGCCAAACTTGGCAAGCCACACGGTTATAGAACTGTCTTTTGATTATAAATGGCTTCTAGAAGCATGAGCACCCAGAAGGAACAACATGACCCAGACGTCAATCCTTTGTTCCAACCACAGGCCCACTTACCTAAGCAAACCTCCCGCGGCCCACCACTTACCTAGGTAACCCTCCCTTTCCCCACTACCCATGAACTTTTTACCCTGCCAATATCCTCCTTCTATAGTTTTCTGACATCCTGCTTGAACTAACACCTAGCTCTTGGCCTCTGCTCCCCCTCCCCTTTACCCCATACCACTGACTATATAAGCTAGCCTGGAAAAAATAAAATTTGCCACTTGATCAGATCCTGTCTTGTGGTCATTCTCTCCCAGTCTCTTGTCCCCATTCCCCTCCCTGGATATCTCGCCTTAGGTTGTTGTCCCTTGGGTCGGAACAACTACAGCCTGGCTTACTGGGGAGAGGACTGGAGAGAAGCCTTTGGAATCAGCTGATGGGGTGCTTGACAGGAGGTATTTGAAAGCAATGGGATAGCCAGAGAACAACTTCTGCATCCTGAGGGTCTCACTAGCTAGCTACTGCTTGGCTAGGCTGGGTCCTTCCTGTTGTTAAAGTTCCTGATGACCCCAGAATCTGCCCCCAATGAAGGGAAACTGGAGAGAATGACTCCTTAGCCTCTCACCAAGATCACATTTTTTTCATGACCCTGAACTGGAACCCAACTGTTAAAGCAGTGGGGGCTAGGTTGTTTTTTTTTAATAATCAAATCAGAATAAAAGATGGAGGGAAGAGGCCAGCTGTGATGTGACTGCCGGCTCCCTGGCATTTCACACCCCCATGAATATGATACAATCGGTTTCTATGGCAGCTTCTGGGTTAGGCTATGGCTGCTTCTCATACTTTTCACCTCTGATTCAGCTCATCCTCTCTCTTGTCCACCCACCAGCTGCCATTTTTCGAGGTTTCTCAGTTTAGAAGCTTGTAGTGAAGAGCAGGAGTTTGACAGTGAGAACTGGCTAGCACAACTGGGGTGATTATTATGCAGCACCATCCAACCTTCTCTACCCCTTTCTTCCTCGTGCTTTTACACTGTGAGGTAGCAGGATGAGCAGTGACTCAACTCAGAAGTCAGGTGACCCTGAGAACTTCTAACCCTGACTTCCAACATGAGTGGTTGCTAATGACATGGCTCCCAGCTTACACTTCTAGAGCTCCAAGAGCAGTGACCCTCTCACCACTGCAATCCCAGGGCCCATGTGTTAACCTGTTGTGAACTTTATTCTGCCCCACCAAAGGAGCCAGGCTCTCCCACTTGGACAGCAAATGCCACCCAGCCCCTGATGAGTATGTTAGCAAACTCGGCTTTGCAGCTCTCTTTAAAGAACTGTGGGAAGTGTGTCCATTTTCCTAACCTGATGTTTAACTCCTCTTAGAGCTTAGTCTGTAATTCCTACCGCATTTCAGTGGCAGGTCACTGGAAAGGTTCTGAAGAACTGCTAATGGAACTCAGAGGAAATCAAGTCATCAATTAGAATAGCTTATGGCAGGGAACAAGATGCTATATAGTCTCTGGCTTGTTACCTGATCCTGGGAAATCTGCACAGGGTTTCGGAAAACTGTCCAGAGCACAGTAGGGTAGCAAGGAGGTGTAGTCAGGGACCCTTCATAGCGGTAGTACTCGCCAGGGCTCTCAGGCAGAAGTTCTTCAATGTTGAAGCCTGGGATGAGTGCTTGTTGGCCTGGAGAGACACATTGGGAGTGAGAGGCATAAGCATAGTAACTGAGCTTAAATACCCACATTCAGGCACAGTGAATTAGCTCTTTTCTGGGCCACCTGACCCAGTGTCACAACACTGCCCAGTAACCTGCTGCTGTCAACACAGACAGCACCCACCCCATGCTGTTGTTATTCTTAAAGTGGCACAGGTGTGACCACATCCTGTGTAACAGTGAGTGAATTAAGTAGCCAAGAACCCCTCACCTTTGTACTTAACACGTTGAAGATGACTGAAGATCTTGTCATATGATGGATTGATGGAGCCTATCTGCAACAGAAACCAGGCAGGTTGAGCTAAGACAGAATAAGATAGCCTCAGCCCGCATTGACAGTTACCATCAGAGGGCTGGGCTGGAGGCCTTCCCCGAGGACCTGCCTCACAAAGAAGATTCTGACCCATCACCAGACTGTTAAGCATTAGTATAGTGGTCTTGACCTTTGGCATTGAATGTTATCTAGTTTTCAGTTTAAGATACCAGGTTTGAGTATCCCAGTATATAGGGTGTGTTCCTGGTTATCTGATATGAGCCCAAAGACTACACCAGTTCATTTAACCTGGAACTTAAGGGAGCTTTGAGTTCACAATAGCCAAGCCAGATAAGTAAGCACATTGGGAAATGGGAACATGTTGGCTCATTTGGGGAAAACAAAACAAGCTTATCATTCCCCCATTCCCCAATTTTTGGGCTAAAATCTTGATATGTAGCCTATGCTGATCTCAAATTCTCAACAATCCCCCTGTCTCAACTTCCAACCTGCTGGGATTACAGGCATGCACCACCATACCAGGCTGCATTCTTTTTCCCCAGTATTAAATAATTCATTCCGGAACGGATTCAATAATTCATTCCAGAGTGGAGTTTGGATGCTAGGTGTTGTATCAGTGATGGTGTAGCATAAGGATCCCTATAAGGTACCTACAGGCCCTCCCCAGCCAGGTGACCTCATACCATGCAACATGGATGGAGAAAGGGGCTTATATTTTCAATGTCACAAAAGCTATGTCTGTTTCAGCTGCCTAAATAGAGAAAAGTCTTCCTCTAAGAAAAGACAGAAGGAGCCTTAGGAGGAACAGCCCTGCTCTAGAGGCAATGCAGGGCCATCCAGGAATAACTCACTACTGATTGCTGTGCACAGAACACATGCCTAGTCCTGATACCATCCCTGCTACAGACCTCATGTAAAGAAGCCCTTTGAACCTCATACCTCAATGAGAACAGCAAGAACAGCGAGGCCTTCTGACTTGTCACTGGCGGTGCTGAAGTCAGGGTACAGGTCTGAGTTATAATGGACAATGTGCAACTGTAATAGGAGAGAAAGTATCCAGGAGGGGACAAGTGACTCACAGGAACCTTTTGTTTCTGCAGAAGACTTGAATCCAACTAGAAAGTTAGGCATCTGTGCCTCCTCTCCCCCAACAGAATTGATCCCTCGCCCTTAGTATCTATCCCCAGTTTTCCCCTTCCCTAGTCCTTTCCAGCCTGCAAACCAGGGCACATCCTATCTAATTCATTAGATCCCTAGTGTCTGATTAAATAGCAGAGGTACAAAAGACAAGAATGAATGAGTGAATGAATGAATGGTTTTTTATGTTAACCATGAGAAGACTTTGGTGCTTTAGAGGTCTTCTCCTTTCTGATATTTTTCAGGAGCCTGGGGCCAAGTGGTCTCCAGTAGTTTAGCATCTCTGAACCTGATCTGGAAGCAGTGTGGGTGGGACTACAGTTGCTGGCTACAACTTAATCATAACTGATAATGCACAAAACCCTGGTGTTTATCTCTCAGGCAGACAAAATCACAGCATGACTTTTACCAGCTGGATTACCACTCAGACTTTAACAGTCTATAAAACAAAATGATATTCCACAAATGTAGACTTTTATTTTCTCAAAAATAAAAGTCTAAATGGTGGAGTTTTTAATCAGATCAGAAATTAATAATTAATGTAAAGAGAAGTTTTTGAGAAATCCTAAATTTAGAAAGCATAGGCACATATTATGACCCTTGTTAATATAAATTCTGGTGATGCTTAATCTGACTTTTAATCCTAAAGACAGTATCACCTAGCCTTCAGAAAACTTTATAGTGGATAGCTCCTAATGTAAAATACATTCACTTTTCTTCTGTGCCCTTGAGACTATTGCATATTGAAATATTTATCTTTATTTATTTTCTATTCACCTATCATCTCCTTTGTTGAAAGAAATTCACCATAAGGTCTATTTTTAATGTTATTACATAGCCCTTTTGCTGTTTTTCATTTTATTTTATTTTATTATGCATATGGATATTTTGCCTACATGTATATCAGTGCACCATGAGCATGCCTGGTTCCAGTGGAAGTCAGAAGAGAGTATTGGTTGGAGTTACAGATGGCTGTGAAATGCCAGGTGAGGGAACAGAACCAGGGTCATTTGGGTTGGGGGGGGCAGAATCTTACTGTATAGCTTAATCTGGCCTTGGGCTTGAAATCTTCGTGCCTGAGCCTCTTGAGTGCTAGGATTACAGGCATGCACCACCACATCTGACTTTCATGTTACATCTGTTAAGGTTTCCATGGGGGTTCTTGCTCCACCATCTTTCTCATAAATGATGGCCCACCACAAGGCCCATACCATCTTAGAATGGCTTGGAAAAACAGTAAACTTCTATTTGTATAAATTACCCAAGATGTTTATTGCTTGACTTTGGACCCTGTGGTTTGCTTCAGCTCTTAACATATTCAGACTAAATAAAAATGAAGTTGAAAACTAATCTAGGTCTATGGGCGTTCCCTGGTAAGGGGTTTCAAAAAGAGTCTTCTATGTCCCCACCCAAGAGAACCACTACTTCAAAGAGGGTCTCAACACAGAGTCTGCCAGTTAGGCTTGCCCTGATGCTTCTTCCCTAGGATTAGCAATTATGGCCTATTTTTGCCAGGCTTTGTCTAGTTATTAGCTTAAGAGCAGAAAATACAATTATTATTTTTCTTAAGATTTTATTTTTACTTTAGCTAGTCATGGTGGCACATGCCTTCAATCCCAACATTCAGGAGGTGGAAGCAGGAGGATCTCTGTGAATTCAAGGTCAGCCTGGTCTACATAGTAAGATCCAGGCCAGTGAGGACTACACAGTAAAATTTTGTCTCAAATGTTAAAAAGGTGTGTGTGTGTGTGTGTGTGTGTGAGAGAGAGAGAGAGAGAGAGAGAGAGAGAGAGAGTGTGTATTCACACATATAAATGCAGTGTCTGAGGAGGCCATAAGAAGGCATCAGATCCAATGGAGGTAGAGTTTTAGGTAGTTGTAGACTCCCAAAATGGGTTCTAGGAACCAAACTCAGGACTCCTATAAGAGCAGTATGCTATCTTAATAGCTGAGCCATCTCTCCAGCACCCCAGAAATATTTTTAAATGCATAAACTCTCCAAACCTACATCCTAGCTGCCACTTTATTCTCCCAGGGGGAAGCGGAAGCCTCAACATTGCAATTAGCTTGCAAGAAATTGCAGTTCTTGAGCTCCAGGGAAGGGAGGATCTGCTCTGAAATCCGTGTGCCTCCAGTCATACCATTCTATTGGGCCAGAATCACATCCCCTCCACACTTGTAACAGACCTATAATTAGGTTGAGACATTAAGCAGTTCAGCAGTTGTGAACAGAGGAGAGAATGGTTGTGTCATTCTTTAGCATGGGATCTGCTGGCTGACCATCAGCATTTATCTCTTCCTATCTGTTCTCCTGTATACACTCAGAGCCACATCCCCAACTCAAACTTGGAGTAGAAGAACTCAAGACCCCTCTCCAACCTACCCTATCACATGCCTGTGATACAGCAAGGGCATTCTGCCTCTCTTCTCATTCCCTTTGGTATTTTAGATTAGAATCTCAGGGTGACATGACACAGTGCTATGCCCACATCCCAAATTGTTTTCAGAGAATCTCTGATCACAGTGATGCCCTGCACATCTAATGCCAGTCACTCCTTAATCTATGGCAAGCTACAAGAACAGTCCTGGATCATTGTCTTCATATTCCCAAGTACAATTCATGGATAAGAAGAGATTTTTAAGCAACAATGTTGTGTGAAGACTGAAAAATATGGAGTAGCAATGAGCTGGGTATGATTAAGCAATGAGCTGTGACAGCCCGACAAGCTACAAGGTCTTCCTCTGCACAGAACAGGAGGATGTCTAGAAATGGACCACATGCACCTCACCATGCCATCTGCAAGGCTGGCCTTCTCAGCAGCATCACACGGTAAAAGAAACAGGCAGACTCAGTATGCTGCAGCAAAGGAAGGAACAAAGATACCTGGAGAAATGCAGGGCAGTGAGACCTTCCTGTGCTGCTGACAGAAGAGTGGGGGGGGGGGGGGACAAAGACTATGAAGGCTGCTCTATCCCAGTGGCCACATAGAGGGGAGTCAGTGCTAGGTACCCTCTCCCAGACTGGCCATTCACTCACCTCGGCAGCAAAGTGCTTCCCACTCACGGTGTGTTCAGAGCCATGGGGATCATTGCGGTTCCCCCAGTGCAAGTGCAGCTGCTCTGCTCTGTATTGGTGAGGCTGGAGGCCCTGGATATACATGTCCGAGTTCAGATTCAGTCTCACTATGAGGAATGGAGGAGCAGCCTTCAGAGCCTGGCCAGCTGAACCCTGGCCAGACCAACCCTGTCAAAAAGCAGGCAGGCAGGCAACCCCTGCACAGGTACAAGTGGCTGCAGGAACAAAGGGTAAACCAGTGCAGTAATGCCTGTAGGCCAGAGACCTGGCCTCTTTCTCCTAGTCCAACTCCAGTGGCACCAGCACCTTCATGGATCTCCCTGGAAAGCATCAACTCTACACCAATGATGGTTGTTGCTTTACTTATTCATGTATCAGGTTCCTGCCTATAATAATAGAACCTTCAATGAAGAACTTGCCAAGTTGGAAAATAACATTCCAATGACAATTGCTATTTAAAAAGCATTTACTATGCAACAGACTGATGTACCCAATCTCTAGTGTTCCTTGACAACTCAAGAAAGTCAAAATTCTTATCCAATCTGATGACTCATTAGTATCTGTGATGGCTAATTTTGGTTGTCAACTACATCTGGAATCAACTACAGCCTAAGCAACTGGGCACTCTTGTGAGGATTTTCTTGGTTGGATTATTAGAGTTGGAAAGACTCACACTAAACCTGGGCTTTTTCTCTCTCTCTTTCTCTCTTTCTCTCTCTCTCTCTCTCTCTCTCTCTCTCTCTCTCTCTCTCTCTCTCTCTCTCTCTCTCTCTCTCTGTGTGTGTGTGTGTGTAGCAAAGTCATGATTCAACCCCAGTCGGTCTGACTCTAAACCCTGAGTGTCTACCCTCAGCAACTGAATTGCTGGTGCCTTGAATAGTTCATGTTGACCCAGAACTCACCCTGGAAGCTTAGCCAATGGACCAATGGGATCAGACCTATCTCTTCCTCTCACAAGAGATGTGCTTCTGAGATGTCCTGCCCCGGAAGAATCACCAGAGCCAAAATTGTAGCGCACACACCCCATACATAAGACAGTAGGCCAGGAATGCCTCACAGCCTCCTCCTGCCTCCTCCAGAGTGCCTCAGGGGAATCCCTCCCAGCCAGATGAAAGAGCCAGGCAGGGAGTCAAAGGGGCCTCAGACCTGTCTTTCAGGGTCTCTAAGGTCTCCCCATTACCTGAATGGCCATCATTGGTCAAGTTCAACAGCTTTTCAGCAGACACATTGTAACCTTGGAACTGTAAGGGTGTGAGGCTGGCATCATACTGGAGGATGTCGCTATGTAGGTCTATCGGGGACTGTAGGAGGCCCCCACATGACGGGTACTTCTTGGACCAGTTCTTTTCCCCAGTAGGACCTAGAAGGAGAGATCCAAGCTCAAGCTCAGTTTTCTGAAAGGAAATTTTCTCACCTTCTAATCTCTGTTTATACAACAGTTCCTTTTTATTCCCTTATCTTTCCATAGACAACCACTATTCTACATGAGACAAGTATATGTACTGGTCCCTTGGCATCCTTGTGGACTTCTTCTGAGAGTGGGGAGAGTCAGAAGAAATACTTGATATCTTTGCTCATTGTAACTGCTATGAGGAAGAAGAGTCAGCTCTAGTTTTAGAGATAAATTGTTCAAGACCTGGAAATACCAGCTTTTAGAATCAGGCCCAGCAAACGTCTTAAAACCATCTGCCATTAAAGTGTTGTGGAGGATAAGAGACTAGAGTAGCCCAGGCCAGAAACTAGGGCCCCCACCCAAACTCCACTTTATTCCCATGTTGACACAAAACATATATATCCTCTCTACATGAAGACCAGTGATTCACCAATTTACTATCTGCTTGTTGAGCACCCATTATGTGCCAGGAATTACTCTAGGTCATGAGGCCACCAAGTTGGACACTATAGGAACATCCAAACAGGTATTCTAGTAGGGAAAATATAATGAGTGTGCCAAACTGTGCCAGGTGGTGCAATTGTTATTTGACTAACCATAGCTCAAATATGTCTTTGAGGCTGATGGATTCACAGTGTGATGTTCCTGATAGGATACAGGAATACAGGAGTCTGGGGATACAGACTCCTGATACCCACATCTAGAGTGCAGGATGCAATCCAAAAGGGATGCTTGAAAAATATTGAGTAATTATAGGCCTGGGATCACAAAGCCATGTACAGCAGGGTTTTAACTGGAGGGAAGCCTGGTAATACTACAATCTAATTACTGTAATAAAATTGACAAGTCCTTAGGAGGAGAAACAGACTTAAAAATGAAGATCATCCAGGACTCAGGCTCCTTGCTAAATACTGATTAGCAGTCACTGCTCTGTGAATGAAAACATCCCTGGGGTCCAACAACCTTTTCACAGGTGTTACCTAAGACCACCAGAAAACACAGATATTTACATTACCATTCATAACACTAGCAAGATTGCAGTTACAAAGTAGCAACAAAATAATTCTGTGGTTGGGGGTCACACAACATGAGGAATCACATAAAAGGGTCACAGCATTAGGAAGCTTGAGAACCCCTGAGAACTATGGTACTCCCACCGGGAAGAATCTTGAAAGAATGTAAATCTGTGTTTAAAAGATTATCCTCCATGGTAATTAAATGGATTTTCAGGCTACTGGCAGATATTTTCCTCCAAATAACTGAGATCTTGGGAGGCTATAAGGAGGAAATTGAGGAAATTGTGTCCTACATAGTCATTATTAGAAGTTAGAGCCATGCTGGGTATTTGGGGATGAGAGAAACAAGCATGTTAAAGATATCAGAGTCAGTGTGGCCAAGGCCTTCAGTAGAAAATAAGGTGGGAACACAGAATACCCAGACAACAAGACTGCAGCAACACCTGTCCCACCACCTTGGTGAGTGATCACAGCCAGGTCATGATCCCTGCTGGAGCTGCTAGTAGAAATGTCAGGGTTGGATACTGTATTCTGAGATCCAATATTTATGAAGATTACAGGACTACGTACTTCACTCTCTGCACCAGGCAAGTTGGAACGGCTCGCTGAGGCTTGTTCATGTCAAGGCGGCTCTAGTGCATGTGATAAGGTTCCTGGTGGGAACCAGCTTCAAAAGTGAAGGCTCTGGATGCCGGTGTCCCTGGGCTGTCTGAGGTGTAGACACCACCTTCCCAGTCCTGGCCTCTGTCCACAGCCAAGCCAGTCACAGGCCCTTGTGGCTGCAGGGTCTAAAAGAGCCTTTCCCACCTCTACCCCACCCTCAGCTTCTTTCACCATCAGCAGCCTAGTATATTTATTTAGGTAGTTTTTGATCCTTCTAAAATCTATAACCTTGGCCATAGCCAAGGGGAGGAGATGAAAGTCTTTTGTGGATGAAATACTGAGATGAAGTAATTTGTTCAAAGTTAGACTTTGGCTTAATACCGAAGTTACCTGACTTGGAGAAGCTTTGGTGTCTTCTCCCCTAGTGTTTATCTGGGAGATTTTGTGCATCTATTTTCTCCCCCTTTCTCCTACATTCTCCTTGGATGTGAGGAGTGTCTCATTCATCCCCACATTTCCTACAGTGCCTGGCACATGGCAGGTCCTCACACGTTTACTAACTAATTCTCCCACCTGTTTCCTGCTTAGTTTTCTAAGGGGCACTTGATTAACTGTTTGAAGTCCCCCACGTGCCTTTTCTCTTTAAAAGAGTTGGAGCCAGTCGTGGTGGCGCATATCCAGAACCTCAGCACTGCTTCCTGTTCCCTCCCTCCCTCCCTCCCTCCCTCCCTCCCTCTCTCTCTCTCTCTCTTTCTTTCTTTCTTTCACGTCTGTGTGTCAGTCTGTCTCTCTCTCTGTGTGTGTGTCTTTTTCTATCTCTGTCTCTCTGTCTCTCTGTCTCTCTGTCTCTCTCTCGCGCTCTCTCTATGTATGTATGTACATACTCCAGGTTAGCTGGTCTGTGAACTTCTGGGGAGATTAGATTCTCTAGTTTTTGTCCTTCATCTCAGGATAGGAATGCTGGGATTATAGATGTGTGCCACCATATTGTGTTTTTTCACATGGGTCTCAGGAATGAACTTGTGACCTCAGGCTTTCACAGTTAACACATTTACCCACCGAGCCATCCTGCTGGTCCTCTGTAATCCTAGTATTTGTGAGGTGGAGGCAAAAGAGCCTTGGCTACATTGTGAGTTTGAGACCAGCTTGTCTACATGAGACCCTGCCTTAAAAAAAGGAAAAAAAAAGTTTGAAAATGAGATCACTTGTTCAGGTTTAGAATGTCTCTCTTTAGCTTTTAAGTTTACCTGTGTGAGGATTGGTTCTGGGTGGCTGGGACTACTTGTTGAAAAGGAAACCGGCTTTCCGTCCTATATTGCAGGATGTGGCCTGGTAAATACGACTTCATAGAGTTTATAGACCCCTCCACCGCCTCATTTGGACCCCTGCTCCTTTTACAGTCATACAGCCTCATGATTTCCTGCCTTGTGAATCAATAGAGAGAGACATATGGCTAGGTACCTACACAACCAATATCAAACATGACAGCAATGGACTCTGCCATTGTCCTCCAGTTTCTGTACAGCCCATGTGTGACCTGCAGCCACAATAAGCCTGGGAGGGTCACTGAAGGCTACAATTTCTCATCTGAGTCTCAGCTTTCACAGTCTTTTTTTTTTTTTTTTTTTTTTTTTTTTTTTTTTTTTTTTTTTAACTGAGACCATGTCTCATATCTCAGGCTGACCTGTACCTCTGATCCTCTGCTCACATCTCTCCAGTGCTGGATTACAGGCATGTGCCACCATGCCTAGTTTAGGTGGTGCTATGTATCAGTCATTCTACCACCTGAGCTACATAACCAGTCCCAGCTTTCAGACTCTTGCCAAGTGCTCTTTGCCAGAGAGCCTGTGCTGGGAGCAGCTCTTACAAAGCAGCTCCTGTAAACACTTGCCTTTGCTTTGGGTTTCCACGGCACCTCTTCCATTGGTTGGAACCCCATCCCTATCCCCACCCCATGATCATGAAGGAGACCATGTACATCCCAAAGCTTGTTTTCCCAAGTAAAAGCAAGGCATTGTTTCTTTCTAGTTCCTGAATTTCCCTACCGATGACAAAAAGAAGCAGAAAGATCTTTGTTTTAAAATATAAAGTAGGATTAACATGGCACAGTTCAAAAACATCTCTTGTGACTTCTGACTGGGAACTGTGAGGCCCAGGGTACAGAACCTGCATTATCTGAGGACCAGATTATTTGTATAGAGAAAATTTCAAATATATCAACAGCAGAGGGAGATAAGCAAGGTGAACTCCACATCACCCAGCTGTGGCAGTTTATGAGTTACGGCTGGTACTGTTTCATCTTCTCCATCTGCCTGGATAACCCTGAAACAAAGCAGCTTGATTTCATCTGCACCTGTCTCAGGAGGCTTTCCTAAACCATGAGCGCTCAGAGCAAAAACTCAATACCACTATCACCCTTGCAAAGTTAAGTTAGAATTTAAAATTACCAAATCCAGTCAGCATTCAGTTTCACAACTAGATCATATCTTCTTTTTCCCAAGGAAGCAAAGTTGGAGTTTATTAAGAAATGGTGCTAAATTGGGTGGTGGTGGCACACACCTTTAATCCTAGCACTCAGAAGGTAGAGGCAGGTGGATCTCTGAGTTTGAGGCCAGCCTGGTCTACAAGAGCTAGTTCCAGGACAGCCGCCAAAGCCACAGAGAAACCCTGTCTCAAAAAAAAAGAAAGAAAGAAAGAAAGGAGGGAGGGAGGGAGGGAGGGAGGGAAGGTGGGAGAGCGGGGAGGGAGGAAGGGTGCTAACAGAGTTATGTGTGGGTGTTAGGGGACAGAAGGGAAGACAGGAAAAGGGCAGTATAGATGAAAGACACAGGTGCAGATTTCTAGAGGGACTTGTATTTAAGTCTTAGGATTAGCCCCAGATACAACATTGGCGGCTTCTGGAGTTCTGTTGTTCAAAAGGTTTCTGAGAGATGTTCTTTTTTTCTTTTGGTAAATGTGACCATTGGGTGGCTTCTAAAAGTACTGGGCGTTACAGGCGGGTAGGATTAAACACATAGGTCACAAGGGCTATGGAATCTTCACCAGATCTAAGTTACAAAGAAGTCCAGACATGTTTTCACTGTAAGCAGGGTTCATTTCTCTTGTTTGTGAGAGTCTCGGAAAGTTACAGCTGGGGAAGAGGTGAGGTTAAATCCAAAGGTCCTGAGCCAGTGAGACAAGATGACACTGCAAGGAAAGAGCCTGATGCACAAGCCTGATGACCTGAGTTGGATTCCTGGAACCCAAGTAAAGATGGAAGCAGAGAACTGACTCTACAGAGTTGTCCTGTGTGCCCACATGTATATCATATACCTTGTGATAAGTTTTTTAAATTCAAAGGTTATATGT